AACACAACCTCACTCTTCTGTGAATTATTGAAACACAACCTCACTTTTTTATTCGATTATAGAGGAATCAAAGGATTGAAATAGTTTTTCACAATATTTTGGTATACGAATCGTGTTTCTTGCGTTATTCATTAATTCAAGCATGCCTTCGCATTGTGCTGTTGTACAATGCACAAAAAATGCAGCAAGAGACTAGGGAATATGATTTTTCAGGTAAATAGTAATCTAACATAGTTATCATTATGAAATGTTGTCATTCCTTATTAAAATTCCTTCTGCCTTCTGCCACTTCTGCAATACAAGCTAATAATACTGCTAATAGATTGAAAATGTCTACAACACACACGATCGTCAGCATGTCAGACCAGTCCTCCCGATTGATTGCATGAATCCAATCTTCTTGCATTATTCTAGAAATTTCAGGTATATTTCTATTAGCTCCTATTGCAGAAGGAATTCCGATGAGAAATCAGAGAAATAACCAAATTTCAAAAATGAAAACTATAATGTGAGTGACTATAGTAGGTACTTACTTTTAAATCATAATGTACCATCCGTATTCCTTCATCTTCCGCTGCAGTTTTTGTGCATTTTACAACAGCACAATGTGATGGCATGAGCAAATTGATGAATAGCGGAAAAATACGATTCTTATGCCAAAATAATTGGGGAAAACTATTTCCATCACTTGTAAAAAAATAAGAAAAGTGACGTTGTGTTTCAATGTTTTGCCTCCAGCGTCGGTCATCTGACAGTTCTTGCACGCAACCCATAGGTCGCGTGCACGATGACCGACCGTGGAGGTGAAATATTGAAACACAACCTCACTCTTCTGTGGAACACTGAAACGGAACCTCACTTTTTTATTTGTTTTCAGAGGAATCGAAGGATTGAAATACTTCACAATATTTTGGCATACGAATCGTGTTCTTTGCGCTGTTCATTAATTCTGTGGAACACTGAAAGGCAACCTCACTTTTTTATTTGTTTTCAGAGGAATCGAAGGATTGAAATACTTCACAATATTTTGGCATACGAATCGTGTTCTTTGCGCTGTTCATTAATTCAAGCATGCCTTCTCATTGTGCTGTTGTACAATGCACAAAAAATGCAGCGAGAGACGAAGGAATATGATTTTTCAGGTAAATAGTAATCTCACAGCTTTCATTATGAAATTTTGCCATTTCTTATTGAAATAATTTCTGCCACTTCTGCAATAGAAGCTAATACTGCTAAGGGATTGAAACTGTCTACAACACACACAATCATATTCCGTCAACATTTCAGACCAGTCCTGCCGTTTGATTGCATGAATCCAATTTTTTTGCATCCTTTTAGAAATTTCACGGGTATTTCTATCAGCTCCTATTGCAAAAGGAATTTCGATGAGAAATCAGAGAAATTACTTTCAAAAATGAAAACTATACGTGAGTGACTATAGTATGAACTTATTTTTAAATCATATTCCTTCGTCTCTCGCTGCATTTTTTGTGCATGCAAATTCAACACACAACATGTTTCGCTAACACAGTAGCTTCGTCAGGTGATATACTGGTACAATGAGTTCATTGTTATAGGAAATTCATAACCTCATATAGGGTGTTAAAATTGTATTTTCTCTTTATCATTAATTGAAGAAACTCTGACAATGTAAAAAACTGTCACGTTTTTGAATAGTTGTCAAAATAAGACCGCAACGTAATCTATCAAATGTCAATATTATACTACTAGTGCAAAATGATTGAATAGATGCATGAAAATGGTTTTTATTTTCCTACGAGGAAACAGTGCGTCGGACGAAAAATATTAAGGAAGTCAAATTGTAGCAAAATGAATGGAGATTCCTACAAAATTTTTTTAAAGCAAGGGCATGCCATATTTTCTCAGAAAAAACTCCAGTTTACATCCCATACGAACGCCACTGGTAGGAATATAAAAACATTCTCTGCATCAAAAAATGCCTATTGGTGCTTAGTCGATACTTGTCAGATTTCATGGCAATATCTAGAACAGCATTGAAGTTATGATAAGAAAACTAATTTTTTCTCAAAATGCTAACACCCTATAGCTCGAAAGTTAAGAGGTTTAGGGCATATGTCAATACAAACTTTTCTTCTTGAAATGCGCTGAGGAACCATATCCTATATTTTAGTCATCAAGTAAATTACACCCTGTACAATATGCTTTGAAACTAACGGTATATGTATGATGTGGTTATCAAACTGATGATGATTCAAAAGTTATTGAATGTTTTTGAAAAAGGCGACCCATCATTTGAAAAAAATATACCATTTCGGAAATGGGCAAATTTTTCTTATAATTTGATATCATTGTGGGGTAGTTTTTGAATCTGCTAGCAGTATTCAGAAAATCAACTCAAATATGTAATTCAATGAAAAAACTTCAGGAAATCAAAGTTTTCCTCAGGCAATTGATAAGAAGTAACACATGTCATAAAATTATTTCTGGATTGAATATGTTGAAGAAAAAAACCACAAAATGTGACATACTTTTATTGACATTTTTTTAATAGGAATGAACTAACCTTTGAACCATCAACAATTGGATAACCACATATACGGTTAGTTTGATTCGAAATGACCCCCCCCCTCCCTTCCAACCCAGATATTTTGATCCATGACTCAGGGGACACCCTGTATATGGGTAACTATTGCCCATAGTTGTTTGACAGATTTTTCTCCCCTTTTTTTGAGGTATGGTTGGACTCTATATTTATTTTCCAGCAGCATAGAAAACCACGCGACTCGTGGAAAATCGAAATGGTAAATAACTTACAGAGAATCGGTGTTAATTCTGGTGCATACTTTTCTAGAACAATGGGTGGAATTCGCAGAATTTGTCTAATAGTGCGTTGGAGGACGATTGCGGTATTCTCGGAATTCCTATTAGTACTTAGTAATCAGAGTTTAAGAATTTCAGACACACCCTGTATGCAGAAAAGAATAGAGAGCTAGGATTAGCAAATTATTACCATCAGGCAAACACATCTTCCCAACGCCCATCTAAGTCTATTGCAACACCACGACCAGCGGCGTACATAACTTTTTTTTGGGAACCTTCTGTAAATCAGACATAGTCCCAAAATGTACTGCGAACGGAAACAAATGTTGTTCGACGTCATTACTCTGAATCGGAAGTTTGAATGAATACAAATTATTTGAAAGAAATGAATTTTATCACATGCAAAGAAAACATCATATCACGGTATCAAAGTCAATCATTGAGGGATAATCGTTAATAACGAGAGAAATAAAACTACTTTCATGATATATGACATGCAGAATATTGAATTACATTCTCCCGAAACCTCTCGAACGATTCGTATAAAGGAATATATACAGGGTGTTTCAGTTTTTTGTAGCAGGACTTCAACAGCTTGAAGAAGACATTTTTTTTAAGATGAAAATCTCAAACAAACATATATGCGTGGGAGCTTCGTTCCCGATTTACAGGGTGTCAAAAATCAGATTTTTTTATGTTTTTTGAATTTTCTCCTACAATTTTCGGAATAATTGATTGAAATTTGGTACACCTAATACACTTCAAAAACTCAATATTTGAGGCTATTGAGCGTTTTTGAATACCTACAGGGTGATAGACTTTCAGGGGTCGTACCCAATTTAACCCTGTAGAACTTTTTTGCGTGCCGCCTCTGCTTTCAATGGGACATAGATTCAGATTGTCTCTGCAATTTGGAAACTTTTTGCCCCGATGTATGTTTTTCGAAAACTACTGATAAAAAAAATTAGAACTGCCGTTCACGAGATTAAATTATTAAAACTCACACCACCTCAACCGTCAGAAGCGATAGTCTAGCGATGTATAGCGCATAGACCGTGTGTCATACAGTCCCAGATATCGAAAGTTCAACCAGTTTCAATTATACAGGGTGTCCTAGAATTTTCTACAATACATTTTCAGATTTTGCAATCCAGTTAGAGAAGTTTTTTTTTTAATAAAAACATTTTTTCTTTGTTATTCCTAGTTTTAATTATAAAATGGTGTTCAAAAAATTCAATCTAATTTTGCAACTGAATTTCATTTGGTATGGAAGCTTTCGGTCATTCTATTTTCCAATAAAATGTTTGAGAAATGTCAAATAAGTGTGTTTGAGAAATAACGGTTTTATTACAAGTAATTTATTTTTGGCATTTATCTCGAGATCCATACAGTTTTCGAAAAATTTACATAGAGGCAAGAAGTTTCCGAATTGAAAGGACAATCTGAATCTATGTCCCATTGAAAGCAGAGACGGCACGCAAAAAAGTTCTACAGGGTTAAATTGGGTACGACCCCTGAAAGTCTATCACCCTGTAGGTATTCAAAAACGCTCAATAGCCTCAAATATTGAGCTTTTGAAGTGTATTATGGGTGTACCAAATTTCTATCAATTATTCCGAAAATTATAGGAGAAAATTCAAAAAACATACAAAAAAATCTGAAACTTTGACAAAAAATGTCTTCTTCAAGCTGTTGAAGTCCTGCTTCAAAAAACTGGAACACCCTGTATATGACACTCAAATTTTGTTGAATTTACAAAAAATTTGTAGTTTCAGACAATTTTTTTTTTTTCAGTGTGAATGTTGAAATCAACAAATTGATCCATCAATAATTCTTTGATAATATTCTTCTTCTAACATTTTTCAGACAAGGTGTCGCGCTGATTCTCGATTAAATTACTCTTTCTGGTTTTAAATAGTGGAATTGCAAGTACCCTGACAATTTGGGGTAAATAAAACCTATTATCGTGGATCAAGGGCTAGAGGGGAGTCTCTTGAAGCCCCCAGTGAGTACTCCACTGATGGTTTGCCCAATAATCCAAGTGGTTCGATCAATAGTAGACCATGGTGGACCGAAAAAAAGAATCGCGTTCGTTATTCGTTTGTTTCGAGTATCTCGGATTTGGCCCTGGGGCGCCATCACACAAATCTTCTGCATTTTTTGAATTGTGGCCCGGCCAGTAAGGGGGGACTGGGGAGTCTCTCGGTCGCTATAAAAGATGGGGCCGGATTCGCAACAGCATCACAATCTTCCAGTGGTCTTCTGATTTTGGATACCAAAGTAGTGACAATGAAACAAGTAAGATTCTTTTGATTTTTAATAGGTTAATTAGTGTGGAATACTGGATTTAATGTATTTTGAATCATAGAAGTTCGTTTCACTTTCATCGCTGATGGACAATAAACAATAATCCTTTAACAACTGGGTATTGGGTAAATAGAATTCTTTGTGAAAATATCGCGGAGGGTCTCTCAATTATTGTTCAATCTTTTCACTAGATTTTTTGGCGGACATTGAATTCAAATTCGGTACATAATCTAAGTGACACTTGAACAATGCGACGATGTCAGATTTTGTACATGATTCACTGATTTCCAGGCACAGAACATGTTTCATATAGTATACAGTGTCATCAGCATCATCATTGATATGATTATTTTCCATTTTTATTACATTTCTCGTAAGTTGAAAAAGTTTTTTGAAATAGGAAAATCATCGTTGAAGTATCTTAAATTGAGCAACTACTTAACTGGCTAATACCACGGAATATTGAATATTGAATATTGAATCTGGTTAGGCACATATGTATCAAAAAATAATATATTTAGTTCTGAGAAAATATGTGTATTCTTTTCATTCATTATCTATTTATAATCGAATGGAATTAAATTGATGAAAATATGTTCAATGGTATTTCCAATTTTTGACAGATATCTATAATTCAATATTCTATGCTTTTCTGTTAGATATTCTAACAAGTCATTTCTTATATCTCAAAAAAATTATCCCCAACTAAGGCAGTGTGAAACAGTGATTAAAGATTTTTGTCTTGAAAGATCGACAATTAATCGCTGAATATCCCACAATTAGATATTATAATATAAACAATTGTGCACTGTGCGAATTTTACACATATTATCGACATATTAAACAGTTTTTTCTTCTGGAATCATGCAAAATTATGGTAATTTCTTATTTGCCTATCGATTGACCTGGCCAATTAAACATCATTTAAAATAAAACTAAAGGCTAGGTTATTTCTATTAGTTTCGAGAAAAAGTGGAGGTCGTATTTTCTTAAAAAAAAACAATGGAAAAGACAGTTGAACAAAAAAGTTCTTTCAGTAACTGAGTATATTACGTGTCAAGTGATGCTTTCGAATTTGTTGAAATTTGATTGAGCCGACGTCAAAAATCTGTTCAATTCTGGTAGGTGCTTATAGAACAGAAGCAAACATTTTCATGTTACATTTGCCGGAATTTTAATGCATCATATCATAATGTTCCATGAGTTTATTCCCTTTATTTTCAAATTATTTCACTGATTCATTCAAAAATGAAAACAGAACTTTCTCGTTATTCAACAAACTTCGTAACTCATCAGCTCATTTCATTATATCAAAAATTGACACAAATTTCTAATAATATGCATAATAGTTGATTGCATAAAAATGTTTTACGAATTTTTTTATTTGCTTAATGTCAAACTATTAGACATATTTAAACAATAAATCAATTTTTATTATCAATATGATGATGGTATTCAGTAATGATATAGCTATTATGAAATAGAAGATACATTAAAACTTGACTACTATTTAATAGAAAGTCAATGTCACTAACGATGCAATCTTCTGAATCATCAGATCGCTTCATGAAACTTGTGTAAATTCATTTCAATACATTACAGTGTTGTTGAGATTCTGCAATGATCGTGTGAAACTTCAAATGAAATCTTTCCAAACACAGAATCACATATTTTTTCTCCTTGTCTCTATAAAATAAAAATATGGATACTATTTCAATATACGTGTAGTGGGGATGATTTGCCCGAAAATGTCACTGCCTTCAAAGAGTTGAAATTCCAAACTTTTTTTCCGTCACAGAAAAAAAAATCCTACAATTATCTAAACCAGGGCCTGAGCCAAAAAGCCTTCGCCTTCCTGCCCCCCCGCACACCCCAAGGAAAAACATTATCGACGCCTCTGATTCATCGAACAACTGGCAAACACCCTAACACGTTCTTCTTCCTTACAGTTCTTGGTAGCCGCTGCCATCTTGGCCCTCGCCCACTCATTGCCCGCCCCACCTGCCCTACACCGTCAAGTTGACCCCTCATCTGGCCCCATCAACCGAGAACTCAACGACGTCCCCATCCTACGACTAGACAACAACAACGACGGAGAATCCTACAACTACGCCCTGGAAACCGGAAACGGCATCGCCGCCCAAGAAACAGGCTCCGCCAAGGGCGAAGATGGCACCAACGCTCAGGGAGAATACTCCTACACCGCCCCTGATGGTCAACAGATCCAGGCTAGGTACGTGGCTGGTCCCAACGGGTTCGAAATCCAGGGCAGTCATTTGCCTGTGGCTCCTCCAGTCCCACAGGAGATCCTGAAGGCTTTGGAGCAGAACGCAGCTGATGAAGCTAGGGGAGTGGTAGACGATGGGCAATACCACGGACAATAAGCTGTTGAGTCACCAAATTTGTTGTTATTTATTTTGATATGTAAATAAATTTTTCAATCACAATGTGTCTGTTATATTCTCCAACTTTGTTAGATATTACTCAACTTCCGACTTGTCATAGCCTTCTAGAGGTTCGATTCGAACTAGATTTAGTAACTCATCATCTGGCTCTCTTTCTGTTGGGGTTGATAGAAACAAACATCCTGATCACAGTCACTTTGAAACTACCCTATAGTTTATACTCAGCTACCAATCCTAATGATTCCAGTGGACTCTCTGTCAAAAACAGGTTACTTACTCAAGGGTATCTTGGTCTCAGGAGCATGCTCTGCCATAGGTTTAGATAAAACCAAAGCTCAGTCAGAATACTCCTACACTAGGGTAGGTACATAGCTGGTCCCAACGGGTTCGAAATCCAGGGCAGTCATTTGCCTGTGGCTACCAATCTTGATGGTTTCACTTGACTCTCTAACAATAATTGGTTACTTATTCGAAAGCGTCTTGGCCTTAGAAACCGGCTCTGCTATAGGAATATATGTTACTAACGCTCAAGTGGACCCCTCATCTGGCCCCATCAACCGAGAACTCAACGACGTCCCCATCCTACGACTAGACAACAACAACGACGGAGAATCCTACAACTACGCCCTGGAAACCGGAAACGGCATCGCCGCCCAAGAAACTGGCTCCGCCAAGGGCGAAGATGGCACCAACGCTCAGGGAGAATACTCCTACACCGCCCCTGATGGTCAACAGATCCAGGCTAGGTACGTGGCTGGTCCCAACGGGTTCGAAATCCAGGGCAGCCATTTGCCTGTGGCTCCTCCAGTCCCACAGGAGATCCTCAAGGCTTTGGAGCAGAACGCAGCTGATGAAGCTAGGGGAGTAGTGGACGATGGGCAATACCATGGACAATAAGCTGTTGAGTCACCAAATTTGTTGTTATTTATTTTGATATGTAAATAAATTTTTCAATCACGATGTGTCTGTTATCTTCCCCAACTTTGTTACATATTACTCAACTTCTAGATTGTCATAGCCTACTAGAGGTTCGATCCTAACTAGATTCAGTAACTCATCATCTGGCCCTCTTTCTGTTGGGGTTGATAGAAACAAACATCCTGATCACAGTTACTGTGAAACTACCCTATCGTTTATACTCATCTACCAATCCTAATGACTCCAGTAGACTCTCTGTCAAGAACAGGTTACTTACTCAAGGGTATCTTGGTCTTAGGAGCATGCTCTGTCATAGGTTTAGATAGTACCAAAGCTCAGGCAGAATACTCCTACACTAGGGTAGGTACATAGCTGGTCCCAACGGGTTCGAAATCCAGGGCAGTCATTTGCCTGTGGCTGCCAATCCTGATGGTTTCACATGACTCTCTAACAATGATTATTGGTCACCTATTCAAGAGCATCTAGGCCTTAGAAACCGGCTCTGCTATAGGGATATATGTTACTAACGCTCAAGGAGAATACTCCTACACCGCTCCTGATGGTCAACAGATCCAGGCTAGGTACGTGGCCGGTGTAAACGGGTTCGAAATCCAGGGCAGCCATTTGCCTGTGGCTCCTCCAGTCCCACAGGAGATCCTGAAGGCTTTGGAGCAGAACGCAGCTGATGAAGCTAGGGGAGTTGTGGACGATGGGCAATACCACGGACAATAAGCTGTTGAGTCACCAAATTTGTTGTTATTTATTTTGATATGTAAATAAATTTTTCAATCACAATGTGTCTGTTATATTCCCCAACTTTGTTAGATACTACTCAACTTCCGACTTGTCATAGCCTTCTATGGACTCTGTCAAAAACAGGTTACTTATTACTCAAGGGTCAACAGGTCTTAGGAGCATGCTCTGCCATAGGTTTAGATAGTACCAAAGCTGTACATGACTGGTCCCAACGGGTTCGAAATCCAGGGCAGTCATTTGCCTGTGGCTCCTCCAGTCCCACAGGAGATCCTGAAGGCTCTGGAGCAGAACGCAGCTGATGAAGCAATAAGCTGTTGAGTCACCAAATTTGTTGTTATTTATTTTGAGATGTAAATAAGATGTTTCAATCATTCTAGAGTTTACATTCGACCTATATCTGGTAACTCATCATCAGGCTCTTTTTCTGTTGAGGTTGATAGAAACGAGGAAAGAAAATCATTGAAACTAAAACATTTTGATCACATTTAACGCGAAACTAACCCTATTGTTTATACTCAGGTACCAAGCTTGATGATTCTAGTGGACTCTATGTCAAAGACCTGTTACTTGTTCCTCAACATTCAGACTGTCATAACATTCACAGCCTTCTGGAGGTTCGATTCGACCTAGTTATGGTAACTTATCTATTTGTCATCAGGCCTTCTTCCAGATCGTCAACAGATCCAGGCTAGGTACGTGGCTGGTGTCAACGGATTTGAGATTCAGGGCAGCCATTTGCCTGTGGCTCCACCAGTTCCGCAGGAGATCCTCAAGGTTTTCGAGCAAAACTTAGCTTTTTGTTGTTGCTATTTATTTTCAGATGTAAATAAATGTTTCAATCCCAATGTGTCTGTTCTATTCTCCAATTTTGTTACATATCTCTCAACTTCCATATTGTCTCCGTCTTATTCTAGAGGTTTCATTCGAACTAGAATTGTTAACTCATCATCAAGCCCTCTTTCTGTTGCGTTCGATAGAAATGAGGAATCATTTAAGCTCAAACTATCCTAAACTGCGAACTTAATCCAATCTTTAATACCATCTACCAATCTCGATGATTCCAGTGGTCAAAGACCTGTTACTTACTCAAGAGTATTTCAGCATTAAGGAAACAGGCTCTACTATAGAAAAGGCTGAGAGAGAATACTCCTACACCAGGATATGTACGTTGCTGGTATCAACGGTTCGAAATCAAGGTGAGTCATTTGCCTGTGGCTCCTCCAGTTCCACAGGAGATCCTCAAGGCTTTAGAGCAGTACGCAGCTGATGAAGCTAGGAGAGTATTGGACGATGGCAATACTATGTAGGATTAGCTGTTGAGCCACCAAATTTGTCGTTATTTATCTTGAGAGTTAAGTAAATGTAACTAGATTAGGTAACCCATCATCCGGCCCTCTTTCTGTTGAGGTTGATAGAAACAAGGAACGAGAATCATCGAAGCTCCAACATCTTGATCATAGTTACTGCGAAACTAACTCGTTTATAATCAGCTACCAATCGTGATGATTCCATTGGAATCTCTGTCAAAGGCCTGTTACTTATTCAAAAGCATTTCGGCCTTAGAAACAGGCTCTGCCATAGGAAAAGATGGTACCAAAGCTCAGGGAGAATACTCCAACACTAGGGCAGGTGCGTGGCTAGTCCCAATGGGTTCGAAATCCAGGAAAGTCATTTGCCTGTTGCTCCTCCACTCCCACAGAAGATCCTCAAGGCTTTGGATCAGAACGCAGCTGATGGAGCTTGTGGCGTAGTGGACTATGGGCAATACTCTGGACAATTAGCTGTTGATCAAATCCATTGTTATTTATTTTGGGATCTAAATAAATATTCCAGCCACTATGTGTCTGTTACATTATTAAACCACCCATGTTACATATTGCTCAACATCCATCAGGTTGACATAGAATTCTAGAGGTTCGATTCGAACTAGATTTTGATGTTGAGGTTGATAGAAACGAGGAAAGAACATTATTGATGCTCAAACATCCTGATCACAGGTACTGTGAAACTATCCCTATCGTTTATACCCAGCTACAAATCGTGATGGTTCTACTGGACTCTCTGTCAAAGAGTGGTTACTTACTCAAGGGCATCTTGGCGTTAGGACCTGGCTCAGTCAAAGAAAATGGTAGCAGCGCTGAGACAGAATACTCCCACCATAGACTAGCTACGTTGCTGGTGTCAACGGGTTCGAAATCCAGAGCAGCCATTTGGTTGTGGCTGCTTCAGGCCCACAGGTGATTCTATAAAGGCTTTGGAGCAGAGCGCAGATGATGAAGCTAGAGTAATATTGGAAGATGGGCAATAAGCTGTTGAATCACCAATCGTTGTTATTTATTTTGAGATGTAAATGAATGTTTCAATCACAAGGATGGTCTATAATATTCTCCAACTATGTTACAAAGTGCCTCACCATCCAGATTGGGATGAACTTCTAGGTAACTCATCTAAATGTTATGAAATCTTCTTTCTGTCGAGGTTGATAGAAATGAGGACAGAAAATAAGTGAAGCTCTTAATCACAGTCCCTGTGAAACTACTCATATCGTTCGTACTCAGCTACCTATCTGGAAGGTTTCAGTAGACTCTCTGACAGAGACTAGTTACATATTCAGGGGTATATTGGCTCTACTAGAGAGGAAAGACGGCACTTACGCTCATGGGAAATATTGGTACACCGCTCTCAATAGAGGCATTTGCATGTGGTCCCTCTGGTCTTACAAAGATCCCTAAAATCCTCGAGCAAAACGCAACTCAGGATGCTAGAGGAGTCGGTAGTGGACGGTGGCAAATATCACAGGCAATGAGCTGTGAAGTCATCAAATTCATTTTCATTCATTTTCTGATACTATAATTGAATATTACATGTTTCAGTCACATTGTATTCGTTCCAAAATTCTGTAGCCTAGTTACATAGTGCTTTTAATGAAGGTTGATATACGTATTCGATCAAAGCCTGGATATTGTTCGATGGTACTCACTTACCCAAAACAAATAACAAAATGAGGACTAGCTACTTATGAAGGTGAAGAATTTCTTCTGGTGTCAAGATACTGTCTGTAGCTATCGCTGATCGCTGTACAGATACATATTGAAAAGTGTACGAAGTTTCTTTCAAGAAGATATAAATTGCACTATTGTAAATATTGTTGTCACGTGTTCCGGATATCAGTATTTTTCACCGTATATAGATGCAAATGACGTTTCGTATGTTTCTCATTCAATCACCAGCCAAAATTGCATACGAATTACGAGTTTCGTTAGTATACGAATAAAAGATATACTAGGAATAAGAATACCTCTAATTTTTGGCACCCCTGTTTGATAATCGTATCTATTCTCCACATTTTCAATTCAATGTGGAAAGTATCACGTTAACTAATTAATATACAAGCAGTTTTTTCTTCGTACTGAAATATTACTTTTTGCACAAATATCGAAAATATTCGATCGTAATAGCAGCAAAGGTTTGATTGACACAAGAACTCATCTGTTGTTTGATATTTGTCAAAATATGAAAATATCGCCATATTTGTATGGAGAAAATCACTCATCACCTCCACAATACCCAATCAGTATGTAGTTCAGAAAACATTCCATTAGGAAGTCCTATCCAAATACAAATGCCATCTTATACAAAAATATTGTTTATTGCACTTACTTAAGAACACATGCATCTATTTACAAAACATCATTCAAAATGACCATTTAAAATTACAATAAAAATACACATAAATAATGGCTGCTTCCCGTGTCAAATCCTAATATCTATAACCGTCGGGTCCTTTCGGCTGGCCAGCCGGCCCACTGGGCACCCCGTATTGCGTTCCAGGAGCCTGCCCCCTCGCGCCAAAACCACCCTGACCTCCTTGACTGCCACCGAAACCTCCCTGACCTCCCTGACTACTTCCAAAACCTCCCTGGGCACCGCTGTAGCCGCCCTGAGCACCACCGTATCCTCCTCGACCGCCTCCCTGGGACCCCGAGTAACCTCCCTGCGCCCCCTGGGCCCCTGAGTAACCTCCCTGAGCACCCTGAGATCCTGCGTATCCTCCCTGAGCTGCGCCGCGACCTTCGTCTGCGCCCTGTCTGTACTGGCCGTCGTCTACGATGCCTCTGGCTTCGTCAGCGAGGTTCTGTTCGATGGCCCGCTGGATTTCCTCAGGGATTGGGGGTGGAGTGGGGAGGTGGCTGCCCTGAGGCAGGAAGCCGTTGCCGTCGGCGGTGTAGGTGATGGAGATTTGTTGGCCGTCTGGGGCGGTGTAGCTGAATGAACCTGTAAGGGATAATTTTTTAGTGTGACATTGACTTAGATACCTATGGCTGATGCTAGTGATGTTAGGATTCAATAGTAGGAGAGCCGACTGCAGATTCCTAACGTCATCTGATAGCGAAATGATAAATGTCCTAAAGGAAAGTTAAAACATTGTAGTTCATCGGACGGCACCTGTGCCGATCACTATCCTGAGCAAAATGATTCAAAAATTGCACTTTCCTGTGCAGACATTTGCAATCGATTTCGCGTTCAAGTTTATTTAATCCACAGAGCAGTTATATGCTATCGGACAAGTCAAGTCAGTACAAATATTTGGATTTATGAAATACAATACAGTCTACGTGAACAAACAAACAAGTATTAAAAAAAATTCGTTCATACTATAGGGGCAGAGGTGGAGAAGATGCATTTTCATTTTATTTTTGAATGTATGCAGTTCATTGATCAATTTTAATTCTTCGGGAAGAGAATTGTATAGTCTGAGTCCCAATATGTCCGATGATTTCTGAGATATCGTCAAACGTACGTTGGGCAAATAGAAATTATTCTTTGTTCGCGTTCGATAACTATGTATTGAATTATGTTTCTTTGAACTTTCTCGTTTTTTTTTTGTATATTAGTTAAAACTTCGAGGATATATAATCCACATAGGGAAAGTAACTTGTATTCTTTGAATAATTCCCTACATGAGGTGCCACTACGAACACTGGCAAGACATCGTACAATTCTTTTCTGCACTATGAAGACTTCATGAGCGGCAGATGAGTTACCCCAGATGGTGATTCCATATGTCATTCCAGATTGAATTTCTCCGTGGTAAAAAAGTAGGAGTCCTCGCATGTCTGAAATTGATTTGAGAGCTCTCAATTGGAAGCAATTAGTACTCAATGTATTTGCTAGGGATTTACAATGTGATTTGAATGATAGATGATGATCAAGTCTAAATAGTGCATACAACAGGAACATTTTTATTTTGTTTGTCTGCCATGAAAAGTTAAGTAATTTTTTTGGAAGCATTCAAATAAAGGGAGTTATCATATGATCATCTACAGAGTGACTGAATAGTATCATCAATTTTGTTTTGAATTTGAGTATCAGATTTGTGAATAATAATGTAGAATCATCTGCATATAAACAGGTGAATGTATTTGGAAGGATCAGAGGCAACTCATTGACGTACAGTGTGAACAGAACGGGCCCCAGTACTGATCCCTGAGGGACTCCAATTCCAACCGGAAGTTCACTAGAAATAACGATCGTTTTCTTATTATTTTCCACATGATTTATTTTGATTTTCTGATTCCATACATGTGGAGTTTTTTAAGCATAATATCATGCTGGACGCAGTCAAAAGCACGGCTGAGAACGCGGAATATCCCAACCGCGCTCTCGCCTGCCTCCAGTAAATCTAGTATTTTTTCATAGGAAAGGGAAATAAGGTAGGGATTTGTGTTCATCTTGAATTCCTGGAGGTTATATGCATCGGGGAACACCTCCCTTGGCAATGTGTTCCAGAGCCAACACTGTTCGTTGGATGAACGAATCTTTGGAAAGAGATGTTCTGCAGGTTTCCAAAGTGACCACAAAGAGGTGGGTGCGAAGCCTCAACTCGACGGGTTAATCTCGCGGGGACTGCCAAGGGAGGAACAATTGTTGATATTTCAGGAGAGTAACGTCCATGAAAATATCTACAAAATAGAGCCAGATCGCCAACTTTTCTACGGTGTTCCAGAGAAGTGAGTGAGTTTCTGAGCGGGGCATCCCCCACGAGACGAATTGCCCTTTTTTGGACAGAATCCAATAGTTTCAGGGTATGTTTGGGTGCTGCACTCGGAATATGAGAACAGTATTCTAGGACAGGTCGGATCTGTGCCTTATAGATCATAAGCAGCTGACTGGAAGTGAAATAGCTCCTGCTAGTTGTTATTGATCGTCGTTTCCGTTGTTTTCATTCCATCAATGACGTTTTTTGTTATGTGTTGAGTTGAAGAACATTTTTTATATGATGGATTTCGTAATTGAAAATTTGTTGATCAGATGAAATTCATATTGCTCTATCGAGGAGTGATTCGATTGTTCTACTCTCAATACCTATAGTTCTCTGATGATTCTGATGAAAATCGAGGTATTTGTTAGTATAGGTATTTTTATGATATCACAAAGACGTTGTTTGAAAATGGTAACTGATTGTCAATTTCCACAAAGTGAAAATTATGGTGGGTTCGGCATTGCTCATAATGATCCAGAGATTCATCTAGTTCCATAAGGTTATGTATTCAAAGTATTAGGAAAACATCATCTACGTCCAAAGATAAGTGAAAACCTAATATTTTTTCGATTCACCTATATATTCCTGTTTTCCTTTAGATTAATGTATCACTGATATTCGATTGAGTTTTCGTTTCAGGCTCTCTGATAGTTTAACGGAGAAGAAAATCCCAAAGAATCTGGAGAAATAAATTCAGTCTAATGCTGAAGTTCCTGATGTTGAGGAACTTCAATACAATTCTTTCAGTTTCAAGTAGCTAAACTGAGTCTGTTGATGACATTATAACGATGATTCAATCAACCCTGTATACTGACCTTGAGCTTGAGTCCCATCTCCTCTGGCGTCTCCCTGTTCCTGAGCGTTGATGCCGTTTCCAGTTTCGTAAAGGTAGTTGTAGGTGCCGTCGCCATTGTTGTTGTTCTCCAACCGGAGGATGGGGATTTCTGAGCCAGCTCCAGGTCTGCCAGCTCCGGCACCTCCTGAAATAATGAGAGATTTCACCAACACCGTCTTCACCTCAGAGGCACAAGAGGGCCTGAAGGATCGACAATTCATCTCACATTTATATTTTTGTCGAGTACAGTACCTACCAGCGCCACCGTAACAGTATATTGTGCAACAAGTGGGAAAAGTGCTTTTCCCCACATGTTGCTCACTATACTTTTTCTACAACTGCACTTATTCAAAGAATCCTAGTAATGTAACTTATTGGTATTCATTATATACTGTGGCACTATACCACATTGAATATTGTGACTAAAGAGTAGACGCCTCTCCTAGTTCCTTAGTAGTTCCTAGTATTTCAAAAAAGTACACTTTCCGAGGAAGAATTAATTTCTGTAGTTTTTTAGATTCCATGAATTTTTCGTACCAATATGCCAATTCATACTTTTTTCTTGAAATTTCCGGAAACAAATCTAACTTTTGCAGCTTTTTCCATCATCTCTGTCTCTGGCGGTGTATTTATCAAAATCGTCACATCTCGGTATATACATCATATTATTTATTATGAATTGTTGGAACAATGTTTGATGGAAAATGCGATTTCTATCAAAAGCACTAATGAGAACTACTCTAAATAATTTGATAAAAAAGTTCTTCTGACAGTTGTGACAACTATTCAAAGCTGAACATAATAATTACAAAACTCGTCCGCCATCTTGAATGTCTTAGTTTTTTCTTTCACAAGAACCTTCTCCAGACAATAACATACACAACAAAAAATAATCAGTGAAATCGGTCAAGCCGTTTACGATTCTGCAAAGGACATAAGTACAGAATGAATGAATGTTTGAGATTCTATAATTTCAGAAGAATCTCACGATTTCGAAGACCCGTTCACTTACCCGAATATCCTCCTGCTCCCTGATAACCACTTCCTGCTCCCCCAGCTCCCTGATAACCACCTCCTGCTCCTCCTGCTCCCTGGTAACTACCTCCTGCTCCTCCCGATCCTTGGTAACCACCTCCTGCTCCTCCTGATCCTTGGTAACCACCCCCTGCTCCTCCTGATCCTTGGTAACCACCCCCTGATCCTCCCGTTCCTTGGTAACCACCCCCTGCTCCTCCTGATCCTTGATAACCACCCCCGGCTGCTCCTGATCCTTGGTAACCACCTCCTACTCCTCCAGGACCGCTTCCTGCTCCTCCCGCTCCCTGGTAAGATCCTCCTGATCCTCCTCCTCCTCCTCCTCCACGAGTAGGGGGAAGGTAGTCAAGACGGGCAGAGGCAGCCAAGCCGAATAGGGCCAGAGCAATTAGTACCTGAGGGAAGTTTTTAGGGCTGTTTCAGAATTCAGTGACTATTCAATTGAAACTAAATGGGGTACATAGCGATAATAATAGCTATTGATACACCAAGGTAGTAAAGGATATCATTATTACCCAGGGACTAAGATTATATCCCGAGGCTTCAGCCGATTCTAAATTGAAATGAAAATTCAATCGTTATTATCGGTTACTAAACACTTACAGAAAATGAGGAGTTGAAGCTAACGAAAACTCATTTTCCGTAAGTGATTAGTAATCGATATTAACGATTGAATTCCCATATCGATTTCGATGTTTTATAGAGTTCCTGATGAAGAGCCAATAAAGGCTCGAAAGCTTGAACAGAAACAAGAGTTAAATTCAGTATGGATGGAGACTGAGAAAGTCCCAAAATTTCAAAATGATTCTCATTGGGGTTATTGAGTAATCTCAATGGAAGTCTTGAAAACACGTCTAAATTAAAATTTGGAGACAAATCGAATTTTTATTGTTTCCTCAAAAATTAAGCTAGATACAAAAATAACACAAAGGATAAAAAAGTTGTTATTTCAATAGTTCAATCCACGCCACTGGAAATATTATTTGAAATCTAACTGCACCAGACGAAGCCTCATATTACTATTAACAAAACCACAACGTTTCATTGAAATTGATGAAAATAAATATTATTACCCTGTACCCCGAAAACGAAGCTAATAAGGTCACATGTTTATATGAACTTTATTACGTCAAATATCACAAGAATCCCCCCTTGATTTTTTTCTGTGTTATTCAGATACACCCTGTATATGATGGAATATAACTTTCATAATGCTATTTTTCTCTTTGAGTCCCCTTTTCTGATAAACCTACAAGGCAATTAAGTCGTTCATATTATTTTTGCTGAAGGAATATGGTCAACGAACTGACCTATACTTTATATGAGTATTTTATTTTCTTCAAGTAATGATTTAGAAAAAATAATTATTTATTATACAAGGGAAAAAAGTAGTAGATTTTAGCTCCAGGTTGTGTTGTCTCCCGACGCGTAGCGGAGGGAGACAAAAAACCGTGAGCAAAAATCTAATATTTTTCCCGTGTATAATACACTATTTTTTTCTGTGACAGAAGGAAAGACGAATCAATATTGAGAAGATATTACAGTATTTCGAAATCTGAAAATTATCAACGTGAAATTTCAAGTTTTTAACAGTAGGGACACCTGCGTTTCATAGACATCTTTATCATTCTTTTGAAGTAATCAAATATCTGATGTCACTTCTGTCAGTTCAATTCTGTGATTTGATTTTGAAAAATTGCGAATTCAGTAGTTGTTTAGTAATATACGAAACCGCGAAGTCGAATGGAAGATAAAAGGACTTGCAGTTCTTTCTCGGAGACGGTATTATTGACTCATTTTTCGGAACTATAGCACAACAAAAGCCATTAACAGAGTATATATATGTGATATATATCCGGGAAAAAAGTACTCACTTTTTTCCCACGGGAAAAAAGTAATTTATGAAAAGTGACATTTTATAACCTGCCAACAGAGATGAAATGCCAAACTTTTTTCCCGTCACAGAAAAATAAATATTTTTTTTATACTTCCGTTGATACACCACACAAATTTCTAAACAGGGTGTATCAAAATAACGCCGAAAAATTCAAGAGGCGATTCTTTGTGATATTCTTGCAAATAAAGTTCATATTAACGTGTGTCCTAACTTGCTCCGTTTTTGAGATACAGGATGTTGAAGTTGGAAGTATTGATTGTTTTTATTCCTTATCCCCCTGTATAAGCTTCTATGATGCCGAAATTCAATCTGGTTGGAGATTAAGAACGCCCCAAAATTTCGAAATAATTCTAATTGGGGTTATTGAGTAATCTCAATAGAAGTCTGGAAAACACCTATACAGGGTGGGCCACCAGTAACGCCTCGGTCTCTAGAAGGTTAACCACTTATCTTCTTGGAATTCTTCCTCTCTAGGAAGTTGCATGTCAACATAGGCTACCATTTAAAATTATTTCGAAACATACAGGGTGTCCCCAAAAACCATAAAACACTGAAGTTAAACTTTTTTCTATCGAACACCCTATATATCATTTCATTTTGAGATTCTCCCTGATGAGCTGATTTCAACGACCCATCATACTTGGGGTCTAGCAGTTATAATTACTGAAATATAGGGTGTGAAAAATCGAGATTTTCCAAGTTCAAGAATTTTTTGTGTCGAATTATTCATAATTGGTCAAAACGGCTTACATGTCCCTATCTCAACTTTTGATTAACTATCTACTGATATTTAATTGGGACATATACCGGGTCATCAAGATTCTGAATTCTGCACCACCCTGCATAAATAGTTCAATCTAATAAAAATATAAAACTCAGAAAAAACGGTGGCGTGCAATGACATTCACCATAAATATCGATAAATTTTTCAACTGTGACGCCACTGGAAATATTATTTCGAATTTAATTGTACCAGAAGAAGCTCCATATTACTATTAATAAAACCACAACGTTTCATTGGAATTGATGAAAAGACAATTGAGTAATCTTTATTTCCTAATATATCACAAGGAATCACCGCTTGAAGTTTTTTGATGTTATTTAGATACACCCTGTATAATAATTGTATTAATGTTGAGGAAGGATCTATAGCTAAAATCTTTCTGACTGGTTTGAAAATACACCCCATCTTGCAATCTTGTGCGGTGATAAATATGAGACCGCTTAGCTAACACCATCCAACCGTAACATGTTTTCCGCATGTGGCTGTACATTTCTAATTATATCAGATCATATTTTATTATGTGCGTCCTTCATCGAACACAAAAGAATCATTCAAAATGCAGAATAATGATTAAATTCAAACGCGCACCATTAAGAATTCTCATAGCATCTTAATTTGAAAAATATCCGTGGTTTCGCATCTTATTATAGTATTAATGATGTTACGCTTGCGATTTTTCACATTAGAGGAAGATTGTCAATTGCGGAAAGAATATCCAGATTTTCGATAATCAGATAATGATTTTTTTTACTTTTGTGGCTTCATCACATGAGGAACATACGACGGCGTATCAGCGCCACAATAACCTATTAATTTTTTTATCAGAATCTCAAAATTTTTAGATTTTTTCTCAAAATAATCCACATTATGGTTGCGTGTATTCAGTTACAATACTGCATTGTCAATTATGGGGTTGAAAGTAGGTAGATATCAGAAGTGTGAAGTGCATGATATAGGTGCAATATATAAATTGAAACAACAAAGAAAACGAGAGCGATCCTAGATCTGATTCTTCGTTTTCCTACTGGATTTGAAATGGACATCCATGAGATATCCATCGAAGGATTTGAAATGGATATCTTATGGGTTTCCATGAGATGTTCACAGCAATCACGAATGAGTTCAATCCGCAAGATTGTTTTTCATAGTGTCAATTTCTCTTTTTTGTGTCCGAACATGGATTGAACCTTTTGGAAATAGAACTGATTCTTCGTTTTCCTACTGGATTTGAAATGGACATCCATGAGATATCCATTGAAGGATTTGAAATGGATATCCTTCAGTAGATATCTTATGGATATCCATAAGATATTCATAGCAAAAGCTGATGAAAGTGATGGATGTAATTGTCCAGAAACGTCAATTTCTTTATTGAGAAAAGAAAAAAGCTCATCAGCATTCGTATAAAATTTCCTTCTATACAATCCCAAGGATTTCAATCGTCTTTGTAATGTTCTTGCTGATGTCGTTGTTCTGTACTAACTGCAAACATTGTAATATTTCATGGTAATTCAAACCAAGGAAGAAATATCTCTTTATTAGTTCATTGGTATATATTAGTGTTCTCCATTTAACACATAATTTCGCAAAGCACAACCACTTTATAACTGAATGTAAACATACACAATGTTGTTATCATGTAGGTAACAAATTAGAGAAAAAAATCTCAAAATTTTGAGAAAAAATCTCAAAATTTTGAGATTCTGATAAAAAAATTAATAGGTTATTGTGGCGCTAATACGCCGTCGTAGGAACAAACTCTGAGATCGAAGAGATTGAAATTTTCTCACACCCAAAAAACAAAAAAAAAAGGAAATATTATACACATTTTATTGACAATAATATTCGGCAGGTTACCCCTACTGGACGCCACTAGATTTCATAATTCCAATTTCATGGTAATTCAAACCAAGGAAGAAATATCTCTTTATTAGTTCATTGGTATATATTAGTGTTCTCCATCTAACACATAATTTCGCAAAGCACAACCAATTTATAACTGAATGCAAACATACATAATGTTGTTATCATGTAGGTAACAAATTAGAGAAAAAAATCTCAAAATTTTGAGATTCTGTTAAAAAAATTAATAGGTTATTGTGGCGCTAATACGCCGTTGTAGGAACAAACTCTGAGATCGAAGAGATTGAAATTTTCTCACACCCAAAAAAAAAAAAAAGGAAATATTATACACATTTTATTGACACTAATATTCGGTACGTCACCCCTACTGGACGCCACTGGATTTCATAATTCCAATTGAATTATGGTTATATCAGCACCTCATGACAAAAAATATCATTGCCAAATTTGAAGAAAATCGGTGGAAGGACATTTGAGATATTCATAAAGAAACGATTTTTTGTTTAGAGTTAAACACACTGTATGTTGAAAACTATGCATTTCCGGACCCACGTACATATGAGATGAATTTCTTATTTTATCATGTAGAATCACCCCCTTGATTTCTTGCGCATAATTTACAGTACATATAGGTATGTATACTATTAATTTTTTTCTTCAATATTCAATAGTTATCTTTGATAATTTTAATTGGTCCAAATTCAACGAGAATATACAGTGTGTTACAAGTTGGACCACCCCACCTCACCCCTGTACTTTCTTATTCCTAGGACGATTTAAGAATTTATTCTCATGATATACTACTCAAAATTATCTTCTTTGACGAGCAAAAAAAATATCAATCAGAATTT